GCGCTCCCTGCGGGGCCGGCCCGCTGCGCCGGCCCGCCGCCGAGAAGTTCAGGGCGTCGCTCTCTTGTTGTGCTCTTCCAACCCGCGAGTACTTTCTTTCAGCCAGGGCCAGCGTTCCCGGTGGATGCCAATTAACTGGGTGTTGGCTCCTTTGCCCAGGCTCGATGGGACCCCGCGAGGCCCTCGAGTCCAAATCTCTGCTCCGAGGCTTTTGCCTAGCCTGACCCAACAGGTGTCCGGCTGACCTGTTCCTCAAAAGCCTCACAACGCTCACGGTCACCAGCAGCAGCGCTCCCCACAAAAGCTGGATGCCTCTGACCACCCTGTATATAAATGACGTGAAAGATGTATGTTAAAAGGTGCTCCAGGGCATGATGGATGTCTGTCAAAACAGCCTTGGCTTTTCTTGGAGGCAAGCTCCTTTATCTCCCAGTTCAGCTAGGTGGATGCTCTGTATTTCTTTTCAGAAGCTTACACATACACAGGCAAAATTGAGCATATTAAAAATTTCCAAATTGTTAATGAGGGAAAGTGATTTGTATGCATTAATGTGTAGTTTTGGTATAAAGGAACTGCTACATACTTTGAATTGTTTGCATTTTTATTATTTGTATTAGTTGTCTACATAAATGAAATCAGATGGCATCAAGAGTCCTTCTACATTTAGGAAGTGTGAAAATAATATAGGAATACAGCATAATGGTTTATTTTCAAAAGGTGTGACTTGGATTGGTTTAATTTACACTGCAATAACTTAACAGTTTTCACCCAGCCAAAACCTTATATGCCTCAAATATATGCATAGTGCTAGTAATAATAGCTCTCATTCATCCGTAATGGCTGTAAATGTACAATGACAATAGTCTTTCCTAGTGTTGGTGTATGCTTTTTGTGTACCATCATCACATGCAGTGGTTTACCATTGAGATAGGAGGCTAGTGTTTTCCACAGAATGCAAAAGCAACTAGAAGAAACATCTGATGCCAAACTACTGCTATGCAGTAATATTGTCCTTGATAAAATATTACATATTGATATTGTAGGAAACACACCATTAAGAAACAAGTCTATGAGAATGTGAAGTATTAAATTAGTTTATACAGAGCAGTTGTTGTGATACATTTTAAAAGGTTAATTATGAGCAGTTATTAAATTGCAACTAGCAAATTAATTTAAATCATTAGAGATATATGCCTGCGCTTCATATTTTATTTGAAGTTCTAGAGGGTCTATTTACTTTCCTATAGCAAAGGCCTAAGAACCATTTCATGCTTTCTTTCAGTGTCCTTTTTAGGTCTTAATTGGAAGGTAAGTACTTCACAGACGCTATTTTTGCTTTGCATGGGAGGAGGGGTGCAATTTCATCCATCGTTTATATAAAACATGTTATTATGAAAGCTTAACAGTTGTCACTTGAGTTATAATTGCCATAGGTTATGCACTCTTCATTGGAATTAATTATCTGCAGTAACAATACATTTCTAGAACATATTCATTAGAGAGCAAGAAGACCTGTTATGTCAGTTACTCTACTGTATCACTCAGTAGGAATTTTACCTGAAAATGATTGTTGTAGAATTTTTATCTAGACTACTTTAACATCTCTTACAGATTAAAGAAGAATGTAGATGTACATTTTGACACAAACCTGAATGTAAGCTGAAGTGAAACAGACAATGCTGCATATCCTCAGCTAACTGTATTTTTCATGGTTTTCTTCTCCAATAGATTGGGAAGCAGAATGCCATTTGATGGAGCCAGTGAACCTGACCATGCCCGTGGGTCACTAAAGTCTGAATCAGACATTTTGCAGAACACACTACCTGAAAATGAGAAATTCTATTTTGATCTGTCCAGAATTATTGATAGGTGAGTTTTTTGTTATCATAAGTACTAATGATGATATATTGCTTGAATTATGCCAAAAATAGAGAATGCTTTTACAACACTTAGTTCAATCACACTTTCAGATTGTCAGAGATGTAGGAAAGGAAGAACAGGTTACAAATAAAACACATGGCCTGTGGTTGAATATTGATAGCAATAGGGATGTCCTCAGAGAAGCTAATTGTACTTCCATTCTGACATGACGAGTGCATTCACTTCCAAGGAAGGGCTAAAAAGTATATTGTGAAAATCTAGAAGTTGTTTTATGAAGTTAGCTTAATTTTTCATGTGCAAAAGGTAACTTAAGGAAAGCAGCATGTTGACAAAATGAAAGTTGAAAATAAATTATATGACCCAGGTTGCATTGTAGAGTTTATTTATTGTCCATTTCAGAAATGCAAGGCATGCTGATGGAATTTTCACCAGTGTCTACAGCCATCTTTTGGCTAAAGTTGCTGTGAAGAGATATCTGCATTCGCTTATTAGAAAACGAGTTAGGTGAGGTGGCACTTACATTAGGTAGAGTCTTTTCCTAGCTGGCTTCATTGGCAGTTTTTTACCCTTCTGTACCTAATTTCTCATTTTTGCAATTTAGAGATAAAGAAAGAGAAACTAATATAATAATGGGGGAACTGAAAATCCTATATAACAACTAAGTGGTATTTGTTATTAAATGAATTCGTGACTCTCTATTTCTGTACAGCTATGAGGAGTAAAGCAGCAGACACTGCACACAGTTCTGATAATAAATAGTGGCAATATCACAGTGATAATCTGGCCAATTTGCTTTTTTTAATGTAATGGCTTAGTTAAATTGTACATTCCGGTGGTCTCTATGCTAGCTTGGTGAATGAATGGCAAAAAGTAATACAAGATGATTGATTATTCAGTACTTAAATATTAAAACAGGAGGACACTGAATGAAATTAACATACAATTGATTTAAAGTGACAAAAAAAGAGGAATTATTTTTTCTGCTGTAGAACTTATTGCCAGAGCACTTTGGGAGATCTGTGTTACAGAAAGATGCAAAAAACAGAGAGGTATTCATAGACAAGGGTCCAGATGCAGCTTTGGGACCAGGAATCCCATAAACTAATGATTGCAGGATGCTAGGAAGAATCACTATGTGCTTCCCTTGTTTTTATATCCCTAAGCAGCAGCTACTGGACACTCTTGGGAACAGACTAACAGGATACTTTGGTCTGACCCAGTATGACGGTTCTTATGAATGTCTACTTCGTATTCTCAAAAGCTGAATGAAAATTAGGTCTTCCATTTTTACCCATTTATCTGAAGGCTGCCTTTGTCTCTCAGCAGTTTCTAAGCTTTTATATCAATACTGCCTTTGTTCCCAAACATATAGGACCAATTTCTCATCTGCTCTAAATTAATGTAGATCATTAAAGCGGAACACACTAGCTGAAGGTTCCCAAGATCATGCATGGACAAATATGACTCTAAGTTTGGATTTCAGAAGGTGTATTTTGTCTTCTGATACTTCCTTAAAACAAACATTTGCAGCTAAATATTTGATGTTGCACTTTAAATTTTTTCAGAGGCAGGCTCTGTCCTCACTGAGTTCAATGGGAAAGACGACCAGGGCCTTAAAGTGTGAGCTTTAGGTGTGCACCTTGGTATCATACTAAAATATATTTGCACAAATAGAAGAAATCAGATTACAATAAATTTATTAGAAAGAGTAACCTAGGCTATGAGAACACATAGGAGGAAATCATGAAATCCACACTCCACCATTTGATCACGCAAAATTCCTATGGCCCAAACTCTGGAATTCTTTTAATAACATTTGCATGGTTCCTGACAAAGTTGTCTAGGAGAAAGAAGTCGGTGGAAGGTTTTTCCAAAGGACTGAATGCAGATCCTTAGAATCTGATGCTTGTTATTAAAATGCATAGTAGACAATGGCAGCAGAGTGACTTCTTTTCAAGGGAAGAAAGAAAGTTCCGAAGTCATAGATGGAAATGAAAGCTGTAATGAAAATTTGATTTTATTTAGCTAGTGAACATTGTAAAGTTTGTTTCACTCATTTTAATACTATCCTCTTTTACATTGATTGTGTATTTATCACATTGTGTGTTTATTTATTTTTAATTGTTATATATTGCTAGCTCCCAGGACAGTCCAGTCAAACGCCACTCTGATGCTGTCTTCACTGACAACTACAGCCGCTTTCGAAAGCAAATGGCCGTGAAGAAATACTTAAACTCAGTTTTAACTGGAAAAAGAAGGTATTACAAGAAAGCAAATATGTATACTTTCCATACTTGTATCGTATTAAGACAGAAAAATTTATAACCACATACTTCTACAGAAAGGACAAGCAAAAGACAAGGAACATTAATTACCTTATAACATAGTTTATAATACAGTTTTAAAATACAGACCGCATTTTCTTCCAGACTAGAACAGGCATCATAATCAGATTAGAGTGAGAGAATAAAGAGGAGACTTAGCATCTGAAAATGTTAAAAAGCTTCTGACATATTCTTAAAATGCCTTTATTTATAGCAAGCCTCTTAAGGAAGAATCCACAGAGCTATGGAACACGAACAACAATTTTATAAGGAAAACACACTATTTGTTCAAAATTTACCTTTGAGCAAATAGTTAAAATGAACATTTAGAACTCCTAGAAAGAAGACGATATGTCCTAATCCGTATAGGCGAAAAGTGTCAGTATATGTTTTTGAAGGGCATATATTCTGTTGTAGTCTCACTCATTGAGACCACTGCTTTTTGCTTTTAAATATGATGTCTTTACAAGTGTTAGACATGTAATTCAAAATACTTCTATGTAAGTGTAATGAAAGATGCAATTGCTGCAGTTAGAACAAGGCTTTGTTCACTTGCCTGCTTTTTCTTCTGAAGTTAATAAAATTTGTTTGTGATCCGCAACAGCCAAGAAGAGCTAAACCCTGCTAAACTTCGAGATGAAGCAGAACTTCTTGAACCTTCCTTTTCAGAAAACTATGATGATGTTTCTGTAGATGAGCTGCTGAGCCGCCTCCCACTGGTATGTCCAGATTTATTTTACCCTTGGTATCTGTTAGTTAACTTTACCCATCAAATGAGATTAACCATACATGAAATGTGGCCTCTCAGAAAAGCGGAGTCTTCTTGGAGAAAGCTATGTTCCGTGGAACACTGTGTTTCTGTAGGGATTGTATCTGAATATAATAATCATTTTAATAAGAATAATTAAGTGATCCCCTGATTGCTGTTACTGAAAATTCCTAATTAAATTGAACTGTTAATAATGCACCTATTGTGTTCACTGCAGCATAAAATCCAAATTGACTCATTTTTAATTATAAAGATTATTATTTCTTCAGAGAACAGTCCCTCTACTTCACAGGACTTTCAGGGGCATAAAATTGAAAGGGTAATACAGAAGTGAATCAGACCGGATATTCTTGAAAGTGTATTATAAAATTAATGATAAGGTGTTTTTTGGTATTCAGTTGTATCTGAATTACAAGTAAGAAAAAAGTACACTCTTGAAAGTAATATTTGGAAGAAAGCAACCCCCTACATTTCTTCACGTTGTTGATTCCTTCAGGGACCAAAAGAAAATGCTCTTTTTCTTCCCACAAATGTGATAGTTTCTCTAAAGATCCAAAAGATTAGAAAGGACATAAACTGCTTATGCTTCAAGGAATAAAACAACTTATAAGTGATGGGATTCAGGAAATAAATATTCTTTCTAGGTAGATTATTCAAAAAATACCTGCTTCTGAATTTTTTACCTTCTAAAACTTCTGTCATTGACTAAATAAGAGAGGATACTGGCCCAGTGGGTCAATGGTCTGTTCCTGGAAATATTTTTATTCCTTTCTTTTTTGATGGACCTTACTGATGATCCAGATTTCCTATAAGTGAATCTTTTCATCAGTATTGATAGCTATTGGTCACTTTATCACAAATGCCAGATTGTTGATGTGGTATGTATTGAGCAACCTGAATTCAGGTGTCCGTTTCAAGAACACAGTCACTTTCATTGCGGGCTGTTCTGCACCGTGGGCCAACGTGCAGTAACATTTTGCCTAGTCCTTCAGTCCTTCCTGAGCCTGCAAACACTGGCTGCTGGGTGTAGCACACATTAAACTCTTGTGAATAGCTCTACCTTCACCAATGGGGGTTGCTCATATTTACCAGTCCCCAGCACAGCGAAGGATTTTGGCAAGCCTTGGGTCTTGTCTACATCTTGTCTGCATTTATGTTTCATGTTGCAACCAGCTATGAAAATGACTATTCTAAAAACACTTTTCTCCTTTGCTTTTCAGGACCTCTGAAGGACACCTGGTAAAGTCTATGACAAGAACAAGTTATTTTTGAGTTCCACATAGTATTTCAAAGAGCTGACTTTAGTCATCAAACCAGAACAAATATGTTTGTGAAGTGAAAGTTGTGATATATTTGTTTCTTATGTAATAAAAGTTGATATTTACATTGTAAATATTACCCTAGAGTTCTCTACTGAAAGCTGTACATATGGATGCCAGCTTAACTCATGAGACGTGTGTAAGTCCCATATGCTGTAAATCCTTTACTTCAATAAATTCATTTGAAAATGAGTGTGCAGCTGAAGAGAGCCCATCATTACTAATTAATTGGCTCATTTTAGGTGCAGTACAACTTTAGATAAACCTATTTGATCAAATGGATAATTTTCCAGATTACTTCATACAAGTATAAAAGCATGAGGAAAAGAATGTGTTAAGCATGTACAAATTGCATTACAAAGATCTCTGAAGGTTGCTCCTGAGCAAAAGGGTATGCTTTTCTAGCAGCTTGCCAGAGAATTAGAGGAAATGAAAAAACATTGCAGAATATTTGATCTTTGACAGAATCTTTCCTTTTTCTTTCACATTTTTAATATATCACAATATACAAATTCTATTAAAACCATTAAAATGTATCCTTTACTTTTAATGATGTTTTGGATGCTCTGGAGCTGCCAAAGCATGCACGGAAGAATGCTATCCCTTGATTTGTTTGATGTCTAAAGTCATTGGTTATTCTACATTTGATTGTCAGTAGCTTTGATGATGAAACTATTCCTTATATATAAAATAGATCTGAAGACACTTTACTATTTTTTCAGAATGAATGTAACTTACAAAATATGCAGACAATAAATCATTTTATTATCACTGCAAACTATTACTGGTTTGAGTCAATGTATAGTTACTTGGAATAGTAGTGGTCCCTAGTTAAGTGCTATCCCTACTATATTAGCAGTGGAAAATAGTATTACTGAGCTGCTGTGTACTATATATACTGTTTAGCTATATTAAAAAGACAAAGCAAGTAAGTCTTCTAAAATAATCCTTATTACTTTAGCTTTGTATCATCATATCATAGTATGAAACTGGAAATGTGCAGCTGATTCATTGCTATTGTGAATCAGAATCTTGTTGTATTTTATTAAAATTATAGGTTTAACCAGTTAGATCACTTGCTGGAGAAATATTTATTGTTATAAGGACTCATTGTTCCACTGCAGTAAGGAAAGTGCATGGTATTGCATGTACTACTTATGAAACACATATTCATGTGTGATACCAGCCATGACCCTCCTATGATTTCTCCCCCACCCTGAAAGAACCAAAATTTGGTGGAAGTAGAAAAACTTCTCAGACCGACTTAGAAAATTCAATTTGGAATTTCAAGTATATTTATATGTCATAGATAGGATCATATTCCTACCACAGCAGGTGATGAAATTCATTTATTGTCAGGCACAGACTGGACTTTCACTTATAAGTTTACTGTTCCTATTTAGAAGGAAGCTTCAAACATGACAAAATCTGAGATTTATGGGAACTAGTTCTCATAAATATTTGGCCTTCCAACTTGCAGATATCTTCAGTATTGACATCTGCATGTCAAAGGAAAACCAAATTTGCACAGATTGGATGCTTTTACTGGTATTTCTGCCTAGTGCTGAAAAAATTTCTTTTAGTATAAACCAATGAATGGTTCACAAAAGTTAGACATGTAATTTTACAATCTTCCCTTGAAAACTGATCTTCAAATGGTGTTCCACTCTTAATTCCTTTTTTGTGAAAAAATTATTCAGAAACAAAATTCTGTATGGTCTTCATACGCAGAACTTCTTGTTTAAATGTGCATAAAGTTCATTCACTTATTTTAAAGCAATAAAATGGGAGGGGGTAAACCTCAGCATATTTAAATTTTTGTTCTAAATCTGCTTTTATTTTAAAGTACAATGCTGTAGCTTCAGTAGACTTTTTTTTTTTTCAATTTAACAATAAGGCAGCTATTGGATGAGCTGGTCTTTCATGTTTGAAGTTTAATTCCCCCAAGATTTTGCTCCCCGGAGAAAACTGCAGAACTTAGAATATGTGTTCTTTCTGCTATAATGGAGGATGGAGTGCATTACAGAAAAAAAGGAAGCTTATTGGGAAACCATCAATTCTAAAATACAAAAATAATACCCTCCTGGTAATAATTAAAATAATAAAGTCTTCCTCAGAGAGTTTAGCAAATAGAGATATTCCAAAAGACATGCCAAACTTTATGTATATTTTAGCTAAACTTAGCACTGAAAGGAGAGATACTCCAGAATAATAAACCTGGAGTCGGTATTTGTGTCAAAGGATGACTTATTATAGAAACTCCTGACGTTCCATAGGCGATATAAAGCCCAGTTCTTGCACAGACACTAATGAATTGTGGGAGATGTAACACTATTTGCCTCAGTTCCACCAGCAAGTGGTTATGGTAAGGTTAGATGATCACTGAACGAGACAAATCGGCAGTCCTTCAATGAGCCTTGACAGATGCTGCCAACTCTACAATCCATCTGCAAAATCACATAATAGAATCAAAGTATTGCAGCAGTTATGAAGATGAAAGGGGCAGCTCCAAAAAAATTTTTTGATCTGGCTTGTAACTTGCACAGAATGCTGACCTTTTCCTTGGACACATCACGCAGAGCATGGGGCCTTCTGGGGCCTGTGCTGGCTCAGGAAACTACAATATTTTCAGCTTTGCTTGGTTCTGCTTTGGAAAATTCTCAGATAAACTGTTTGCCCGTTTGACAAGCTGGATTGGAAGTAGGAAATTAGGCACCAGTCTTTCACATCAGCTTTTAAAAATCCTGAAGAATAATTTGATATGTCTTCTACTTTTGAAGCACACAAACAGGAAAGTTTACTTCTGTTTCATACACAGCTATATGCTTGCCACTTTTTAGGAAGGGAATAGAACCCAGCTCTCCCTTACGAGCATAAATATTTTCGATAGCTTAATTGACCAAAATATTTAAATAAAAATACAATTCTGATTATTCAATGTTTAAGTTTAAAGAATGGCATAATTCCTTATGGTATAGGAAAAAATGATTCTCTTATCTGACTATCAACATTAACTTTGAGAGAATAATATCCTCAACAGAGAACTGTTTTGGGAAAGAGCAGGGAATGTTTCAATAATGAGAAAAAAAGTAAAAAAAAAAATTGTCCTTCCCCATTGAGGGAATTATTTAATCCTAAATACAGTTTTGGCTAGGATGATATTTTTGAAAACACATACATGACTTTGGCACCTAAGATCCATTTTCAGAACTGGTTCACACATTCGGAAGACCCTTTTCCCATTTGTTCTCAATAAGACCAGGGCATCTAAGAGCCTAAACTACTTCCAAACATGGGATATAAATACTTTGATAATATTCATCCAATTACTTTATAGTTGTCAAGTCAGAAATTTGTTCTTATGCAACACACATCCTCTTTTTGGGGTCGGGGAGAGCAGAAGAAATGCTAGAGACCGTCACTTTCTTCTATTGTTAGATCACTGGATCAACAAAGACTGTCTATTTAGGAAATATACACAGAGCAACAATTTTTGCCGGTAGTGTATGAAATAACCAGGCTTTTGGCTGGGTAGGACAAAGCATACAGAAAGCTTTCCAGTTTTGCTTGTAAAATTATCTGGTACTGTTGCCGTTTTACCAAATGATAGGAGTTGTCAAGTCCTTGCACATCAGTTTTTTGATAAACAGGAAATCAGTGTTATGGAGTCTGGATGCCTCCTAGTTGTTTATTTTGTATACTGTTGAACTGCTTTTACTGAAGGTGGCTGCAAATGTGGTTCATAGAAGCCTTATTACCAGTTTTTGCTGTTTTAGTGTAGCTCTTCATCTTTGTCTTTCAGACAATCTCTTTTTCCATAATCAAAGCCAGAACATCTGCACGTAGTATTGAGCAAGGAATTCTGTCTCTTGTTAGTGACGTAGAAAACAAACTCCTCTGATACTGGCAGCTAGCCTTCTAGGAAGAATCTTCACAGTAAAGCTAGGGTTACAGCATTTATTCAGAAAGACCAAATCTTGTTTAAATGGTAAGAGCAGTCTGTAACAGTCTACATTTGGTGCCGATGATGGGACATTTCAGTCCTCTCTGGTGATTCCTTTCCTACCTGTATATTACACTCTGCATTATAAAGCTGTTAGACAAAGCAAACTGTGCTGGAGGGTAAGAGCTTTGTTCTAGAGAACCATGTAGTAAGAAAGAGAAAGAGAACTAGCAAATGCAAAGATGTGTGTGAAGAGTGTCTCCTCAAAAATTGCTTAATATTAGATCTAGTTTATATGTGGCTTTTTCTCCTACAGATTTAAGACTGTTACTTTAAGAACAAAGGAAAGGTCCTCTCTTTTAGTCAGAGGGCTTGTGTCATGCAAATCTATTCATAAATCTAGTGAACTCCATCAGAAACACAGCTGGCTTGTATGTCCCTACTTCTGCTGTTGCATAGCAATTTCTGAATCTAGTGGCTTTACTCATTGGGAACCTTCTTTTAGCTGGCAGTCTGAATGTTTGACAGATGTCTTATAAACCCTTTGTTGCTATTCCAGCATTGCTTTTCATCGTAAGAGTACCTTTTCTCCTCTCGGGAGTTAGTCTCCTTGATGTATTTATAGGCTACATTTGTCTCCCAGCCTTTGCTTTGTTAGGCTAAAGAAAAAAGTCCATCTAGTCTCATCTTGCTCTGCATTTCCTGTACTGTTCCAGATCCCCATACCCAGGAGGTCCACGTCTCAGTGAGAGCTCAACACTCCTAAAACACAGTTTACCAGATGGTGCTTTACCTTCAAAATTACCAAAGTGACTAGTGATTTTGAGGTCCTGAGTTGAGAGGGCCTTGAAAAGGTTGATTTTTGAGTTTGGATAACTTTGCTGTTGCTTCTCAAATGTTTCCAGGTTTCCAACTGCTGACAAAGCAAAATCACCATGCACTTGAAGTAAGATGCCTTTTTTGGGGAGGTGGGAAGCTGGGGGGCAGGGAGGGAGCCACTCAAGCCAATCCAAAATGCATGTAAGGCAAAACTGGCTGCTTAAGCAGGCAGATGCCCAAATTACCATGTGGTTTCACCTAGAATGCATCATTTTACTATAGACTGTTTTTTTTTTTTCTTCAAATTCTACTTCCTTAATTCTGTGGCCAAGTGAGATGACAGGACACCCCTTATGCTGCTTTTCAGTTATCTGCAGTACTGGGCAGCAAGGTGACGGCAGCAGCAACCAGGGCCCGTTGC